AGCCCCAAACATTTTTGGCGCATTTTAAGCCGATGAAAACAGCTGATATAACAATAACAAAAGTTAAGCAGCAGCGGCGGCAGCAGCAATAACAAACGCTACAACAACAATCATAATAAATAGCAGATGAGCTAAGTTGAGTTGAGTGGTTCATCACTTAATAACCAGAAAAACCACTACAAGAAGAAGAATGAAGCAATGACAAAAGCAAAATAACCAAAAACGCAACGCAAAGAGACATTGAAAAGAAAAGCAAAAACAAGAAAAAAAACGCAAGCCAAACAAAGATTGGGCAGACGATATATTTATATTTCGTATTAATACTTACAAAAAAAAGTAAGAAATAAAATAAAATAAAAAACAACAGAAAAGTAGACGAATAGATGCGGACCAGCGTCATGCGAAATAATTTTCAAATTACTGTTCTCCTCATGAATTGAAAACGGAAGTTGACGAAAGTGTAATTTTTATAGGCAAATTTGAAAATTTTTGTAGAGCGTGAATGTAATTCATTTTTAAATTTCCTTCAATAGAAAAAAAACGAATTTAAAAAAAATTAAAAATTTCTAAAAATAAAAAAAAATTAAAAATTTGTAAAATTTTTAAAAAAGAATTAGAAAAAAATGAGTAATTATTAATTTTTTTACATTATTCTTTAATTTTTTGTTATTAAAATACAGTATTCCTTATTTTTTATATTATTATTACTTTTTATTTTATTATTACTTTTTATTTTATTTTATTTTGAATAAGCGCCATATTTTTGATTGAAGACTGCATTACGTTGCATTACATTTCTCGTTGTTATGGTGAATTTCTTCAGATTATATTGAATTACCCAAATAGAATTGATTTACATTACTTAGCATTACTTTTAATTATAATTATTTACTCAAATTGGATGAACCATAAATTTTTTTTCGTCACATTAAATAATTTTTGATTACATTTTATTACTCTGCATTAATTTAATTGGTGTATTTCGTTACATTGGTCTGAATTAAATTCAATTATTTGCATTATATGTGAAATTATTTGAAATACATTATTTTATTTTAGATTACTGTCCGATATTTTTGAATAAAGGTCACCTAACCTTGCATTATAGTACATTTTTCTTGAATTTTTTTTAGAATATTTTGAATTACCTAATTGGAATTACTATTTTTTAAATAAAACTACTTTCCATGGCATTAAACTACTTTTAATTACCCTAAATACTTTGAACTATATTAAACTGTTTTTTATTACATAAATTAATGTTGCATTACTTGAAATTAACTTGCATTACCCTGTATTACATTAAAATATTGGCCAATACTTCGAAATACATTACATTACTTAAATTACATTATTTGATAGATTATATTTAATTACCCAATGGACTTACATTACTTGGCATTACTTTAAATTTTTTTAGATTACAGTACTTTGAACTAGAGTAAACTTTTCGTAACATTGAACTATTTCCGATTACTATTACACTACTATTACACTCCATTACATTCGATTATAACCCATTACATCTAATTATTTTACATTATTCTGCTTCACATTGCACATTAAATTACTTTATTTTGCCATAGAATTTCTTTGGATTGTATTTAATTACTTTCCATTGTTTTTGCTAAACTATAATTCTTTTATTTACCTTAAATTATTTTACATCACCTTAAGTTATTTTTCATTATATTGCATTATTTTTCATTACTCTTTATTACATTAAATTGTTTTGCATTACTCCAAATTACTATCAATTACTTTAGATTACTTTTAATTGCAATAAATTATTTTTCATTACATAAAATTGTTTTTTATTACTTGGAATTACTTTACATTAATATGCATTACTTTGCATTACATTACATTGTTTTCCATTACTTCAAATTACTATCAATTACTTTAGATTACTTTTCATTGGATTAAATTATTTTTTGTTACATTAAACTGTTTTTTATTACTTGGAATTACTGTAATTAATCTGCATTACTTTGCATTACATTAAATCATTTTACATTACCTAAAATTACTTGTCATTATATTAAATTATTTTGCATCACTTCAAGTTACTTTCGATTACTTTTCATTATAATAAATTATTTTTCATTATATTAAATTAATTTTTATTGCATGGAATTACTTTGCATTAATCTGCATTAATTTACATTACCTTACATTGTTTTGCATTACTTCAAATTACTTTCAATCACTTTTGATTACTTCTCATTATAATAAATTATTTTTCATTACATTAAATTATTTTTTATTACTTGGAATTGCTTTACATTAATATGCATTACTTCGCATTACATTAAATAATTTTACACTGCCTTAACTTACTTTTCATTATATTAAATTATTTTGCATCATTACATATTACATTAAATTTTTTTACATTACTTTCGATTGCTTTAAATTACTTTTCATTATATTAAATTACTTTTCAGTACATTTAATTATTTTGTATTAATGGGAAATACTGTACATTAATCTGCCTTACATTAAATTACTTTGCATTCATTTGCAACATTTTACATTACTCAGCGTTATTTTACATTACTTTATATACAAAAGTATTGCATTACATGGTAATTCACTTACAAGAGCAGTTTTTTCAAGAATTCAATTTTTTATTTCTATTTTTTGCTGAATTACTCTTGACCGCTCAAGTGCTAACATTACATTTACATAGATTTCTGAATACTTTTTCAACACTAACTACTCTTCAGCGTCTCCACTTATCACCCTCATCTCTTACAACGTCTCGTGGTCTTGCATCACTTGTTCCTCTTCTTTCCCACAATCAGTTCGCCCTTCATTCTCATCACAATCATCATCATCACGATCGGGCGAAGCGTCTTTGCCACTAGCGGAGTCATTGTTACCAACATTTTAAGCAATATTTATATGCTGATATGTCTTTTGGTAGTTGATTTTGTGTTTGGTTTAAGATGGTTACCCACATACATAATTACATATACATATATGCATACATGTATATATTTATACAGATTTCTTGAGGGTTGGAAAAAGTTCAAGTCACCGCTGAATCTCTTAATAATTCCATTTGATTTTTTTTATTCAAATGAGTACCTTCACCTTAACAACAATAAAAAGTAAGAAAAAGTGGAATGAATGTAAAAAATCAAGAAAAATATTCAAAATATTTCAATTGCCAACAAAAATGTAAAGGAAAATCAAGAAAAAAAAGTCGAAAACGAAATAAATAACCATTAAAAGGAAAAGCACACGGAATGCAATCAAATGAAAAAATGTAATAAAATTAATTGTAATAATATTGTAAACATAAAGGAATGAAGAGCGGAGAGGAGAGTAGAGCGGGTTAAAGCAGAGTGGAGTGGAAAAAAGCGCAATAACCAACACTTACCACATACATAGCTCTGGCAACAGCAACACCGTGTACAACAAACAAATAAAATTGTGGTAACAATCATAACAACAAAAAAAAAAAAAAAGAATCAAACGATTTAAGAGACGTTTGAAGTGTAGCTTGTTGTTGTTGGTTGTTGCTGACTTTTACATATACTATTATACAAGTTGTGCAACACACTGCACCGTAGACATTTTGAGCGCCCGTCGCGCTCACATGCGACGCTTGGTCATAATCGTTTGGTAGTTTACACTGTTTAACAAATTTCTGAAAAAATTTCAACAAATATGGAAAACAAATATTTTTTATTTTTTAGTTGAATACTCAGCACGCAAATTCGTAATATTTTATTAGTATATTTTGGATAATTCCTCGTTTAAATTATATTCTGGTGCAAAACAATTGCATGGAAGGCAGCTGTGACTGCTAACAGATTCTTCTAGTTAATTCATTTAGACCTTTACATTTATAAGAAATTAAGTGCATATAAAATTTCATACACCTGGCTGTCTATTTAACAAACTTATTACCAAAAAACTCATTTTTGAACACATATTTGTATGGTAGCTACACGTTATAACCATTCGATTTCAAAGATTTTTTTTGTATAATTTACTAATAATATATGCAAGAGATTTATAAAGTTTCATAATTTTAGCTAGCGTAATTGCAGAGTTATGAGTGAAACTCTAATTTTTGAACAAAAATATGTATGGTAGCCTTATGTTAAAATCAATCGATATGGGTTATTTTAACTGTGCATCTTACTTATATATTGTACAAAAGGTATATAAAGTTTCATAATTTTAGTTAGTGTAATGGCGAAGTTATAAACGAAAATAACGTTTTCGAACAAAAAATTATATGGGAGCTATACTTTGTAGCAACATAATTTTGTTGATTTTTACACTGAGCCTTCTAGACAACATATGTAAGCAATATAGCTAAGATCGTCGATATAACTGCTTATTTGGTTTAGTTATTAAGTCAAATCACATTTTTGAATAAAATTTTTTATGATAGCTAGATATTATAGTTTTAGCGCATCAAAACCGGTTTTCGTTCTTTAAGTAGTATATCCAAAATCTTGCATCTAACTTGTTTTATTATACAAAATTTCAATTTCAAACAAAAAGTAGCATGGGGAACAATATAATATGTTCAAAATATTTGTTAAGCAGTGTTATCCACTTATTGTATTGCATGCGCCTGTGCGTCGAAAACGGTGTAAATGTTACAACCAAGTTAAGTGTGTTGCATGCGCGACGTTTTAAAGAGGACCGTAGCTTGCTGTCTGGCATGCTAGGGCACAAAACTGAAGCGTTTAGGGTTACTTGAGGGTCTAGCGTTAGGCTTAAACCAAAATTCTGCTTAAATATCTACACCAAAACATTTAATTAACTTTATAGACTAAATTACTTTAGCACAAAATGTCATAAAATGGGCCCTAACCTAGCAGCGCTCCTGCTTTAATCAATGTAAAAACCACTTACATATGTACATACATACATACATACACATATCTCAATGAATGTATTTATGTGTATAAATTGCATTTTAAGGCGATAAAAATATTTAAAATCAGAAATATGCTTTCAATTTATTACAGCGCAATTTCTATGAGGCAAAGTAAAACAACAACAATAACAAAGTAAGCAAAAAATAAAAAAAACCTATAAAAATTACACACAAACAAATATAAAATCTACTTGCAGTGTAAAAGTGTACATATTGTACGAGAATAGAGAAAAAAAATGTAAAAAATGAAATAGTCACCAAACTAATTGAAAGTAAAAATATAATAAATATTACAGTTGAATTAACAAAAAAGCAATAGCAAAAAAAAAACAACAACAACTAAAAACAAGTAATTAAAACAGTGAATTTATGTGCCAATACTCATACAAAAATAAATAGAAATTTAATTAGTGAATATATTAAAAGAATAAATTAAATATAAATTACTGCACCCATACATACATATATACAAATACAACAGTTGAGCGCAGTAAATTGAGTGCACATTTATTAATTATTATAAAAATAAAAAATAAAAAATATAAAAAAATAACAAAAATACATAAATAAATACATAAAAAAGTAGATGAGTGCTTTTCGTTTTGTACAAAGTTATGATTTCCTTATTATTTCGTTGATTTGCGCCAATTATTGCCCACAAAATGACACAACAAGACAACTAGACGCATAACAAAAACTACAACAAACAAGCTACAACAAAACTACATACAAACAAATGCTGAAATAGCCACCTGAGTGCCAAATAAAAGCGACGAAATGCAATTATTTTTAACGGTATTGCCAGCTGTCGACCACTCGCTTCAACTAAAACAACAACAACAACAACAGCACAGGCTAATGCAGCTACAGTCGCACAGAAAAAGCAAGTAAAACGTTGTCAACTGCAACATTAATGCATGAAACGACAATAACAACAACAAGGGCAACAAAAATTAAAAAAAAGGAAAACAACTATAGCAAGTCGATTTTGATTGAGAGTAAAGGCGTATTATGTAAGTAAAGATAAAATGTAATATTTTTTTTGTTTTAGTTAAAAAATTTTCATTGGCTGGAAAATCCCAACAAAAAAATTATATTAAAAATAAATTTTAGTTTCGAAATGGTTGGAAGCAATGCTGGAAAATTTTGTGGGAATTCAGTATTTGGGAAATAAATATTTTATCATAAAATTTTGAATTCGTACTGAGAGCAACTCAAGCAGATTAGCTGCAGTAACACTAAAAGATATTCAAATCTAAGTTTTCGAATTTATTATTAGCCGCGAATGGCGCAATTGTGGGATTCTTGTGAAGCAGCTCCTCAAGCTCTTCATATTCACTCATCTCGGCATCTTTTTTTTTTTTGTCTACACATGCATCTTGTTTCACTCTCCAACTCTTCATATCTAGCCCACCCCACTCGTCGTTCATATAGGGGTCGCTCATATTACTGTGCGATAGGCTATTTGCTGTCTTATCGTCGAAGCTATTTTTTCGAACTTTTCTAAAATCAATAGTTTCCCTCATTTCCTTATAATGAAATGCCGCCGAGTACCTGGGTCATCGTGAGTTCACTTATAATATTCCTGCTAATCTTTCTCTTCTCAACTAATTTGATTGTATTAAGACACCTTAGCTTTTTGCTAGCTTTTGGGGTCTAAAGAAGTTGATCTATAATTAAGGAACCGACGATAAAGGTGGTTCAAAGTTTCTCTTGGTTCTTTCTTTCAACAAATTGTCAAGTAAAGTATTTTGTGTGAAGCTGTACACGAGTAAAAATACATCAGCCGTTCGATGGCTTGGAGGAGCTCGACCGAAAATCAGGTGGTATAAAGCGTCAATGGATACTCGCGAAAAGAAGCTGGTTCTACGGCGCTATACCTGAATTTGCTATCCCCGCGAAACTTATACGGCTTACACGACACCAAAAGTTCTGTTAGGATCGAGAAGTCCATGCGACTACTTATCGTGTGAATTCTTCAATCATCTACTGTGAGTTCTGCTTTCCTCAGACTGGTTAAGTAAGCGTAGCTCATGGGTCTGGTAGTGACGAAACAACTCATATCATCAAACAAACAGTCATCGCAATCGCTACTCAGCTCCCATTGACTGTCGCTGTTGACTTTGATGTTGAAGATAATTTCGCCTATCAAGGGACCAGATTAATACCAACAACAATGGCAATCTTGGAATCGAACGTGGTGTCGCTCCTTTGAAGTTGGGAGTTTTTTAAGGGAAAGGTTTTGCGCGAGATTTATGGATCTCTACACGTTGGTAATGGCGAATATCCGCAGTCGACTGAACGATAAGCTGTACAAGTTATACGGCGACATTGACATAGTTCAGTGAATCAAGAAACAGCGGCTACGCTTGCTAGGTCTTGTAGTACGGATCGATAAGAAAACTCCAGCTTTGAAAGTTGTCGATGCGGTACTCCCCGGTGGAAGCAGAGGGAGGAAGGTAACACTTTTAATTCATTTGAAAGACCACGTAGAGAAGGACCTGGTTGTACTTGGTATTTCCAATTGGTGCAAAAAAGGGAAAAGAATGAATGAATGCGAGCTGTTGTTTTTTCCTATCCATATAGGGAGCTCCTAGTTTTTCTATTTCGGAAACTATTTGCACCGACTAATCCGAAGTCAGTTCACGTCTCTGTCCCAAACGACAAGATGGAAATGATGAGCGACTTCTAGGAGTTAGTTTGTTTTTGAACTGATTCTGCGTTGGATTCCAAGGTTTGTTGCAATGTTTGTTGGGATTGGCACTTTTATTAGAAAGAAGAAATTTTCCACAACTTCACAGCTATGACTATCAATAATGAAGTAGGAGTAGAGCTGCTCATTTGGCCTGTTTAAACTCGTAAAATCGATCGATTCATTTTATATGAGGGAGTTTTCTTTCTCATCCGTAGATCATTACCCAAATTTGCATGCGGGTTTCTGAACTCGATTTAGAAACAATGTATATCTCTTCTAGGAGTCAAAAACTTGCTAAACAGTCCCTGTTCTATTCAGCTACCGACATTGATTTCACTATCGCAACACAATTGGGAGATCTAGAGACGCGCTCATGACAATCTGATGTATAGAGTTTGCATGCGTCAAGTCAAAAGTAACCCCAACAACTCTGTTAAATATCTTGGATCAATAAGGGGTTCTGAATTTTAAATACCTGCAGAAGAGCTTTTGGGTATACGACATCTTATGGTGCATTTGCTTTATACAAGTGCCGTTGGACCCATACTAACATATGGACCATTGGTGTGGTAGGAAACACTGAAGAAAAAGTGCCATATTTAACCTTTCGAATAGGTTGGATTTACCTGTATACTTGGTGCAGCTGGCGCGATCAGAACTACCTGACTTTAGAAGTCATCGTAAAAATTAGATCCAGTCCTCTCACGGTGAAGGGCTAGTGCTAAATCTAAGGTGCGACCGAGAAACGGAGGGAGCGAAAGGTGCGCCCATTTGAAACAGCCTAGATATTCATATCTATACTAAATAATCTATTGACATGGCAGGCGCTGGGGCAGGAACCTTCCCCAATATCCAAGGCAGCTGTAAACGCATTTCCTATAAGTATAGTTCTGGCAAGCAGAGATTGTGGATTCTACATAACCTATTAAATGAATAACCGCTTTAACAAGAAGATCTAATAGGTTTCCGATCGAAAGACAGGCTGTGTCAACACAATTTTCGAAGCGACAATTAACAGATAATCGTGGGAAAACACAGCGAATAGCTCCTGGGTCGCAAGCTAAATACATTCATGGAGGGCTATGAAAAGACAGATGAGCTGACTCGGGCTGGCGCCGCGGACTATGTTGCCACTATTAACTGCCTCAGACCCCTCAGCACCTTCAAACATTGTTTAAAGTTTTCCATGGTCTATTTTAAGTCCATACCATCGTCAGGTGACCTGCACAGCTGCCAGCGCGCAAGCTCTGAGGCATATTTGCTTCACTTAATCCTTTCGGCGCCAAACATTACACGTCATTGCATCCCACATATCTTTGTCCTTGTAAGTAACAGGTACATATATGCAACTACTCCTGCAACGTCATACATCCATCCGACGCTGCAAGTCAGTGCCACCACTATTAATCGCAAAAACTGTCATTCACATAACACAAATCTGAGCGAAAAGTAAATCGCAAACAGAACAAAACAAAACAAAAAAGTATAGCAATGCAACAACGTCTGGAAAATATTAACAACAGCAAGAACAACAACAACAGCAAGCATAAGCAAATAATAATAACAAGCGTCTCTCGCTGTAATCAGCGGCAACAATTTTTGTTTGCGTGTACCGCGCACGCTACAAGACTATTGGCCAACCTGTTCTCCCCTGCTTCTGCGCCTGCAATACCTGCTTATGAGCTGCTGAGTACTTTGCCGCCACCGATTACTGACTGGTTTCTTATCAACCCACCGCCTTTTTGCTGAGTTTTTTTTTTTTGTTTTCTTCTTGCCTTTCTACCTGCTGTACGCCTGCTGCCCGTCTGTCGGTCTCGTTATGAACTGCATCTTCTCACCGCAACACACCGTACCACTGCACAGTGCTAAGCTCTGCTTTGCTAAGCCGGTCGCTGCGATAAACATTTTCTGGCAGTTTGACTACTTGAACCGGGTCCACTTGTTTCTTGATTGGTTTGCTGGCTTCTTGTTCGATTTGCCGCCAATTCGCCAGTCGCCGCCGTTGCGCCCGCCCTCTCGATGGTTGTTTACAAGCCAGGCCAGAGCAATCCATCCACCATAGTAGCAGAGCAAACTTAGTATGCAATCCAAACATTTCACTTTGCTGTGAGCCAGTTTATCACATGCTCTGTGTTTTTTTTTTTCAATTTTTGTTTTACGGTTTACTGGTTTCGAATGCCTTTTCGCTTCGTTTGTTTTTTCGTTTCGTTTATTTTTATGATAATCAGCCGGACATTTTTCGTGTTGAAAGCCGAAATTGTTTACTTATTTTCCGCGGCTAATTTGCATACTAAACTAACTAGTTCGGTGAGTAGTTCGATTTATGCAATCAGAGATTTGAAAATTGTGTGCTGCGTTTACTTAATTGGCGCAATTAATCTCCTTGATCGTGGCTTAATCTTGGGATTTTGCCAACACGGGGAAATAATTTCCTTTCGCACGCTTGGGGGGATCCGACTTGGATATCGAAAATTTAGATTATTGCTACTACAGGTATGAACGCGACGGAGGGTATGTAGATCTCTTCACTCTTCAAAACCTGAGTCGTGCTTCCTTCAAGTAATATCCGAAACTATTCCTTAGATGACGCAGATTTACCATCATTTCTTCTGTAGTTGCCTTAGTAGGTAACATTTTCCATTGGATGATCGTCTGAAGTCAAATACCAATAGGACTCTGTACTTACCTTTCATATCGTCTTTATTGGGAAACTCGTCAGGAGTTATGTGGATTCTCACTCTGTTCGGCTCTGTTCGGCTTGTTCGTAATTGGATTTAGTCGTTGTCGGCCAGCTTCAAGGAATGGCTGCACTCAGACGCAGATAAAAAAGCGACAAGCCTGCAAAAACAACGCCCCCAGGACCGTATAAGAAAACTTTCTGATGTCGGCTGAACATCACTTGCTCAGGGAAGCATATATGTTCCATTGTTTGCTTTGCAAGCTATTACTAATAAGATACTGCCGTAAGGAACATCCCAACGAACACTTATAACAAGATGATCCACCATCCGGGCACATCAGATTGGGAATTTTCGACCTTAAGAACTGCATTCAGAACCACCTACAGCAGCCACTGGATAAGACGTCTAACCGACAGGGTGGGTGGAAATCTAGGATATGTTGAAGAACTTCGCTTTGATTTAGATTGTGATGGGATTCGGCGACGGATAACATTTCCCAGAGATTGAGGCAAGACGCGTATCCACCGTGCTGAATGCCTGGACTTGGCAGCTGAGTTTCTCTGCTGCCACGAGTCTCTCACCAAAAT